TGCCGGTTGGTCCCGTAGCGCCGCTCTGGGTGCCACTGGACCAACCCAGCAGCACCCCAGCTGCTCGCCCCCAGGTGTCCCCAAGTCAGCAGCTGCTGAAAATGACCAGTGGCTGACTACAGGAAGCCCCTACCCCGGGCTTCCTGGAATCAGCCGCTGATCAGTTTCAGCAGCAGCTGACTTGGGGATGCCTGGGGTTCTTAAGTTGAACCTGTATGTAAGTCAGAACTGGCGTCCAGATTCAGCCGCTGTTGAAACTGATCAGTTACATACATACAGATTCAACTTAAGAACAAACCTACAGTCCCTATCTTGTACGTAACCTGGGGACTGCCTGTAGTTTCAAAATAGTGTGTCTACACTACAGGAAAGCCTCAAAATTAGTCTGAGGCAGCATGTCCACATTAGGGGAGCCTATCTAAATTCAGAGCTCCAGGAAGCACTAGGGAGTAGTTACTTTGAACGGCCTTGAGGAGGAGCTACTTCGAAATAGCTATTTCAGAAGAGGTGTTATTCCTCGCGGAATGAGGTTTATGGAAGTTGGAATAAGCCATCCATTATTTCCAAAGAACCCAATTGCTGTGTAGACACTTGCATTTTTATATCAGAATAACATCCATTTTTCCAAAATAACGCTGCGGTGTAGACGCATCTATATAGATTAGCCTGAGTGATGGAAGAAATATAGAATTACATATAGTCTATACCTCAGGAATTGGGGGTAGGGGGAGAGAAGAGGTGATGAAAAAGAGTGGGCATTTACTAAGATATGAATTTCTTTTTCAACTCCAAAAGGTGTTCATGGGTCCTTCAAAGGTTTATATTGAGTCAGAGGGAAAAAAAACAAACACACCCCAAAAACTGAGATCTGATTCATAGTTATGAATGTATTCACTAGGGGGTGCAAATGAGGCCTGCACTGTGTTATGCACCATGCAAATACAATAAAAAGAGGGTCAAAGCCCCAGAGAGATTGCAATTTAGGTAGAAGTGGAGACAGAACTGTTGGATACAGACACAGTACAAAACAACAGTGATAAGCCAGTCCAACTATATCAGCTGCCTACACAGAGCTATTTGCCACCAAGAATTATTGAACATAGCCTTTAACACGTGGAGAAAAGCATTAATTCATTCAACTCACCAACCTATTAGGATTGATCAGTGTCACAGTGAAGACCACTGATACAATTTAAGACTACAGTTCACTGTATACATCTTCCTACCTGTGAATCTGCCCATTCCTGTGTAGATAATCTAAGCCTTCCAAAACTTCTTTAAGAATTGTTGCTATTATAGATTCTTCAAGGACACCATTCTTGTGTTCCCCTCTGTTGACAATATACTTTATTATATCCAGCATTGAACCTAAATTGAAAAGCCAGATTTCCATGGGGGCAGGATGGAGGGGAAGGAAAAGAAAGTTATAAACAACCTGCTTGAGCAATCTTACCATAGTGATTCTTGAGAGATCAGACAGACAATCTGGTCTCTATTAATTCCTACATTTTAATCTTTACATTTCTTTACTCTGCTTCAATTTAAACATATTTGTATCCTCGCAAAGAGGCACTCAACTGCCAGATGTCTGAATAAAAAGTGCACAGATTGCTCAAAAAAGAAATCATTCTGTTTAAGAAAAAAAACCTCAACTTTCAATTAGGCAGTCATGCTTACTTGTTTATCACCCTATTATAGTTGTATATTTCAATATCATTGACATTTTGTAAAAAAGACAGACTAGAACATGTTTCCTTCCTTCAAAAGCTTCACTCAGATCCATGTGGGCTAGATACTATGTCTCCAGTTGCAGGACTAGAGATGAAAATGGTGTACCATAAAGAAAAAGTCTGCACCCCTGGTAACCTGCAGTGTGAAATATCACTTTTAAAAAACAAAGCTTTTGTTTTTAATGTCACAGTTTTCAATGACAACACTGTCTGTTCAGCTTGGCATTTCCTGACAGTAACTTACTAAGCTGTTAATGATCGTTGGACTTCATTTTGTGTCCTCAGCTGTTCTGATTAACTGTTGGACCAAGATATTATGTATTATTTCTTAATATTTTCCAATTGAAGCCCAAGTAACAAACTGTTATTTTAGATTTAATAGATTTGTTTTCTAATCATAGAGGGGCACCAGTTATCTGCTGTCTAGGGATGTTAAATTTAAATTAAATTGGCTAATCAAAAAGTCAATGCAATTTGCATCGACGGTTTGATTAGTCAATAAGGGTGCCTCTGTCTTTGAAGTGTAGCAACAGCCCCAGGAGAAAGCACTGTGGGAAGTATGGGGCCAGCAGGAGACTCAAGCAGTCCCCCACAGCGTTTCTTTCTGACAGAGGCAGCCGCGGGGGGGGGGGGGGGGGGTGGGGTGGG